TCCCACACAACCTACATAGTCTTTCCACCATATGTCCCATATACCCTTCCACCATCGTATGTCGCTACCCCTACCTTCTATTGCCCCTTTTCATCACTGTAAAACCCCCACCACCACACAAAAACCATTGCCAACCAAACGCCTCAGCATCTACATCATCAAGATGGCTATCAATGCCATTAATCGTTACACTCAACACATAATCAATAACAATGGGTATTTTTTCAGTGACCTTGAATTTATAGTGAATGATTGAAAAGTTTGGCACAAATCAAGCTAAACCTTGGGTAGAAAATTAGAAGACCCAATTTGTACCATTCCATGTGAAGCATCTCTTATCAAAACCAACACCATCAAATCCTAAAACTAGTACTTGCATAATAAACAAATAGAAGCAACGAAAGATTGACATTTTGTACCCGGTACCTATTTCGATACTCCAAGTTTCAACATCAACAGCATGGAAAAGGGGGTTTTGTTGGAGAAAGAGAGTTAGTTTGTGGTTTGGAGTGTTGGGTTGTAAGGGAGGTTGGGAGTTATGTATGTATGTCTAAACAATTATGTATGCATGTGAGTTATATGTATGTAAACGTGATTATGTATGATATGGGTTCAAGAGGGTAATTTGGACATGTAGTAAAATGTGTAGCATGATATCATAAAAAATGATTACTTAATTGATGACTCGTTAATAGAATGGGGAAAAATGTTATACGAGTTAAATAATATCAAAGTTGTGGAGTTAATTATAATTTATTCATCAAATCTTAGGGGATATTAGTGTAATTTACCCATTTATGATTGTTTTTCATGTTTTCAAAAACAAAAATAATGAAAAATTTGAAAGCACTTAGATTTTCATATTGCTTTTATTTTCTTGCCAAAAGAGTTTATGAAAATCAGCTATTAAAATTGTTTCCTAAATTTGGGTAATTTCAATTTTTTTTTTTATGAAAACAATTTGCCAAGTTTTTGTGTCACAATTTTATGGCATACCCAATTGTTTTCATTTGTTTATTTTTGTTTTTTGTGTTGTTAGGGAAAAAAAAAATGAAATGTATTGAAAATACCCATAATTTTCATATCATTTTCACTTTTATGTGCAAGAAATTTGGAAACAACTTTTTGTGTTCTGCTGAAATGGGGTTGTTTTCATAAACCCGTTTCGACAACAAATTTTGAAAGCAATTTACCAAATACATGTGTTTTTGAAAAATAAAAACAAAAATAGAAAAAGAAGCACAACCAAAGAGATTGTTGTTAACATCGCTTTCTACTCAAATAAATGCATCCAATTGCATGATTGTCACATTATCATTTGTCTCCATTAAAATTGTGATTATTAAGAATTTTGCCCATGAATAGGCTAAGAGAAACAGTCATCGAAAAGAAAGGATTAAAAAATAGAACGACACAGGCATAAGTTTTTCTATCCAACTTAACATCTTTAATGGTTGTTCACTATTTGGTCACACATTACAAAAGCCACCGTTAATATTATTTAATTATTAGCATTTATTCATGTAGTTGACCTCGCTTGATTGGGACATAAAATTTAGTTTGATTTGATTTTGTTACATACATCTTTACGGCAGATAAATATGATACTCAATGAAACACTGCGACTTTACCCTCCAGCAGTCATGTTGATGAGGAAAGCAACAAAAAATGTGAGGCTAGGCGGGCTCAACATTCCAGTTGACACCCAACTCTACCTGGCCTTCGCTGCTGTTTATCATGAAACTAAGATATGGGGAGTAGATGCCAATGAGTTCAATCCAATGAGATTCACTGAGGTTCGAAAGCAACTCGGTGCATTCGTTCCATTTGGTTTGGGTGCCAGAACTTGTGTAGGCCAAAATTTGGCTATGGTGGAAGCCAAAATTGTTTTAGCTATGATTGTCAGACGATATTCATTCTCGGTGTCGCCTTCGTATGCTCACGCCCCAATTCAGTACATAAGTTTGCAACCTCAACATGGTGCACACATTCTCTTCAAGAACATTGCAAGGTAAATATTTGTTTGAAAAAACGTTTGGTGTCTTTGTTATTTTGATATTGTCAAATTTCTCCATCTTGTATGTAATGACTGGGCAAATTTAAACTTTTAAGTATTGTATTATGGGTCCCAAATATCTTAAATAATTATCATAAAGGACCCTAAGAAGTTATATTACTTCAACAAGAACCATGGTTGGAAAAAAATAAAATTAGGCGATTGATCGTCTCGATTTGTGTACACTAATACCCGATTCAATTTGAGATTGATCGTCTCGATTTGTTTACACTAGTACCCGATCCAATTTGAGATTTGAAAAATAGACCCTCTAGGCTTTGTATATTATATTTATGTGTTTAAATTATATGTTTTATTGATTTATTAGTATATGCTCATGCCTAACGGCACCATGTAAAAAAAATAAGTAAACAAAAAAGCAAAAAATAAAAAATAAGGGATGAAAGTAAAAAAATAAGAGGAGGAATGTGGGCATGGGAGAGGAAGAAGATGGACAGGGGGAGAGAGAGAATGCATGAGTGAACAAAAAGGAGAGAACAGAATGTGGGTGAGTGGGAATTAATAAAGAAATTTTGACCTTATGATGAATTTGGAAATTAATCTCAGCCATTGATACAAAACATATCTCTTAGACATTTGACACATTTTCAAAAACATACCTGCTTTACTATATAGATAATTATTTTAGAGAATTCTAAAATTAAATATACATAAAATGCTTTGGAACTCATAACCTATGAAAAGATGGGTGATTTTTCTAAGAATGTATTTGTTTTTTTGACGAATTTATTTTTGTTGTTTGTAGTTGATTGTTTGGTTGTTTATTTGGCCCTTTAAGATTTTGTTGTTTTTATTTTAATCTTATATGTTGTTTGTTTTGTTTTAATATAACTGCTTTTCATATTCTTCACACAAAAAAAAAAAAAAAAAAAAAGGAAGAAGGGGCTTTGGAACTATATTATTCATGCACAGCAAATTGGGAACTTTTGGACGGAAATTTGAATTGCTTAGAGCATGTTTGGTAATCATTTCATTTTCAGTTCATAAAAATTTGTGTGATAATTTTTTTTATTTATAAATGGTTGTCTCAGTTTATAAATTTGAGGAAAAAACATAAACTCAAAAAATGAGTTTACGTTTTCAGTTTTTCATTTTTTTTTCAAATAATTTTTTTTCAATTATTTTTTTTCAATTAATATTTTTTTCAATTAATTTTTTTTTCAATTAACTTTTTTTTTTCAAATAATTTTTTTTCAATTATTTTTATTCAATTATTTTTTTTTCAAATAATTTTTTTTCACTGTCCAAATTTTATAATCTGTTCAATTTTTCACTTATCTATTTAAATCTATTTGTTCAAATATTTTATCTGTTTAAATTTTTTTATCTACTTATTTATTTATTTATTTTTATCTATTCAAATATTTCCTGCACTTCATTGGTTGCACACCATGAAGATTATGAATGAAATCATAGTCAGTATACATAGATAAACAATTGCCTTATTCTTACTTTAATCATTCTACAACAACAATGAATTACAAATACATACGTTATTTATATATAGGACATTGTTATACAAATTTAAGAATTAGGCTCAATTTTCAAACTCAATAATGTAATAATTAATTAAAATATCTAAGATAACATTTTCTTTTATATTTTTTAAATTATCAATTAATTATATCACTTACATATAAATTTATAAGTACACCCATAACTTGCAACACTTGTCGTCATGATCTTCTTCAACCCATACTTTGTACATCCTAGTGTAGTCAAATCTGTGAGCACTAATTTGATAGAGAGAAAATGAATCTATGACTACATCCATGACTTGCAACACTTGTCATCATCATCTTTTTTAATCTAATATTTTGAAAATCTGGTTTTTAATCTAATATTTTGAAAATCTGGTCAATGAGCGATTTAAAAAAGAAATTGGATGGATAAGTCATCGATTCAACTTTCGAAGCGGTTAAATCATAACGTCATAATTAATAATATATAATTATAAAATATAATTAAATAAGTATATATAAGTACTAAAATAGAAATAATAAAAATTATTGCATAGTATTTATTAATAATATTTAATAAAGTCATAATTGATAAAAAAAAAAGTCACTTGTTTTAAAAAAATTAATTTTTTTAAACATTCTCTCCAAACAAATTGATTGAATGCTAGGATTAAATTTGGAGGGAAATGAAATTTTCAACTCTCCCTCCAATCAATATGTTTCAAATAATTTGATTGAATCTCACATGTAATTTTGTAGATTCTTTTTGAAAAATCTTTTCCTATAAATAGGAATATACTTTCATAATTTTCTCAAACTTCCAATGAGACTCTTCCTCATGAGAAGAGACTCTTGAAGTAAGAATTTTTAGTCAAAATTTTGAAATATAGCATTCACTAGTTTATATATATATAAATATATAAAAAAGAAAGAAAATAATAAAAAAATTTAGAAAAAAAACGGTCCAACCCAATATTTATTTAGTTTTGTATTAACTCATAACATGCTTGGAAAATAAGAAACATGTAATGCATATGACCTTTTCCGTAAAAATCTCAAATGAAATAAAATACACCGAAAAGAGATTAATTGTGATTATTATAATTATTGTCGCATCGTTGTAATCATTGACTTCCACTTATATCATTCAATTGGTTTTTTTTTTTTTTTTTTTTTTTGTTGAGAAAATTAGTCTAAGGTCCCTCTCTTATTTTTTATAATGGGAGAAATCCACAATATTATTTTGTAATGTCTACGGTACCTCACCCACCTGCATACATCTCACCCACCAAAATGAGTCCCACTGAAAACTCCAAGTTCCTGCCAGGCCCGGCCCTGGCCATAGGCCCACAAGGCCATGGCTTAGGACCTCTCAAAATAGGCCCAAAATGAGGGCCCCTCCTATTATAAGTTAGTATAATATGTTAGGTGTGTTTTGAGTCAAAAAAAAACAAAAGGCCTAAATCAACTTAATTTTGTTGACCTATTAAAAAGCCAAAAGTTTAAGGCCCAAACCAACTTAAAAGGCCCATTTTTTTTCTAAGTCCTAACCCTATCAACCTTCCCTTTGATAGCCACACCACACCAGCAAGGGAGAAGAATCTGTGCAGCCAGACGAAGAAGTGCTCCAGTAGCACAGGTAATTTTTTTTTATTTTTTATTTTTTATATTCAATTAATTAAATATTTATCTTATCTTTTGCACAATTAATTACTATTATAATATTAGTGTTTACATCATCAAGAAAAATTTATTTAAGTGTAATAGTTCACATCACATAATTTAAAAGTTTTGTATTTTATTAAGTGGTGGTGCTTTTATTTTGAATTTTGATTTAAAAAAATATTTTGATCTCAACACAGTAAGCATAGGTAAATTTTTTTTTTGTTTCAATTAATTAAATATTTGTCTTGTCTTTTGCCCAATTATTTGCTATTATAATATTGGTATTTACATCATCAAGAAGAATTCATTTAAGTTTAATAGTTCATATCACATAATTTAAAAATTTTATATTTTGTTAAGTGGTGGTGCTCTTGTTTTGAATTTTGATCTAAAAAAATATTTTGATCTCAGCTCATCATGACTCTTAAAAGAAATTATCCGTCTGGATTCTCAAAAAGGAAAAAGCAGCAAAAAGGAAAATTGTGAAGGGCCCCAAAAATTTTAGTAATTGATTATTGACTTTGGGCTCCGAAAATCTCAGGACCGGACCTAGTTCCTGCACAAGATGAACTTCAAATGTAGGCCGAGCAGTAGGATCTTCTGCCAGATAAAGTAGTCTATTGTGCATAACCACATCTTCAGCCCTTTCCACGTTCACATCTAATGCATATCTACATATCACCAATCAAAGTCATCAACCAGATACAAGGGATTATGATCAAATCAATTTGAAATAAACATGCATGATTTGATTTGAAAGAATCGAAATCGTGAACACGAGAAAATAATCCAATTATTTTAATTTTGCAATCTTTTTCAGGAAAACCAAACATGAGGGAATTAGGAAGAATGAATTTCACTGTCTTCCATCGCCATTAAAATCAAAGAAAGTCAAATCAAATTGAAATCAGGAGAAATTAGAGTTTGGATTTGTACTTTTCTAGGAATTGGATTTGAACTTAGAGAAATTTTAATTTTCTCTAGATCCAATTTTCTCTAGATCGATGTTGAGGGACCTTAAATATTATGAAAATATTAGATGTCCTTTATATTATAAAATCTTAATGCCAGTGATTCTAAAAAAAAATTCCCCTCCCTTTTTTTTTTAGAAATGGACAGTTAATTTGAGTTTTATTTTTTATTTTTGATGGAAAAATTAATATGAGTTTAAATATTGTAATTCGGGTTTAAAACATGAGGAACGTTACATTAAGTCAAAAAATAAGCAGTAGTACTACGCCTCCGTTTGGGAAGTGGGTTGACTTTTTGACTATTTTAGCCTGGGCTAAAAAGTTTGGTTTGGGAAGGATTTTTTGGCTTTTTGGCTTTTTTAACTTTTTTTGTGAGAGAAGAATGTAATGATTATGGGTTAGATGTGATATTTTGTTTTTTGTGGCTAAAATAGCCTATTTTGTCTTTTGTAGCTAAAATAGCCAAAAAAACCCCGTTTAGCTCTTGCCAAACGGAGCCTACATGCACTAATTAGTGTGCTAACTAATGTACCAACATGTGTTATGACATTATTATTGACCACACTCATTATACAAATTACAAATACCAAAAATCTCTTAAATTATGTTACATCATCAATTGGTATACTAATTGGTGCATATAACATTATTAAAAAACAAAAGGACTACTTGGTATTGTTTGCCAAAATTCAATAATATTAAGATGATCAATTTATTTATCATGCTTAATTTATTATTTCATATGTCATAATTTTATTGATTTAATAAATTGCACTAAAAATAATAAAACATAAGACAGTGAATAAAATATTATAAATAAATAAAATTATTATCTTAACATTATTAGTTTTAAAAAATCGAAACATATATCACCATCAAAGTCGGATCCACCAAATTAGTTAATGAGAAAATAAACATATTTTTTCTATTTGACTCATATATGATATTTTAATAAAACTTAATAGATTACTATTATATCATGGAAATGATCGAGACTCCCTTTTTTTCTTGACCCCTACAACCCCTATAGATACATGTCAGTGAGTGATAGCAGAGAAAATAAATAAATAAATAAACAAACAAACAAAACAAAAAGAAAAAAGTTAGCCAATCCCTATACATTAGGGGTGGTGGGGGTCAAGAAAAAAAGGGATCTTAATCTTTTTCCATTATAAAATGACAAAAATCATGATATAATACATGATAATATAAATAAATTCCCAAAGGGTTGTTTTGGAAAGTTTATAAAAAATTGGTTTTTTTGTCTTTTTTTTTTTAATAAAAAATATGTAAATAAATAGAGAGATGATATGATCCAAAATAAGTTAAAAGCTAAAAATTGGCTACCAAGTTCCCAAATTAGGCCAAAATAGGCCAAAACACACTTGAACAAAACGCAACATTTAATTAGTCTAAAATAATGGGGAGAATTTTATCATACACACGGCATACCATATGCACATTTAGTTATGCAATTTTTTATTCTTTAGTTATAATTAATTTTCTTTTTTAATTATGACATTATTTTGAGGTCTTTGATTATGGCTCATGTAATATTTGATTATGACCCTTTTTTTTTAAAGTTATAATTCAAAAAATATGAAATTATATAAATTTCTTCTTTTATTATAAGGTGCATATAATGCACACTCTTTGAGGGGGGTGCACCATAGTTTTTTTTCCCCCAAATAATGAGTTCTATATCCAAAATGTGTAATGCCGTCGGCCAAAATTGTGAACCCAGTATTTTAAACTATGAAAAAATAATATTTTATTCTTAAAGAAACTCCAACACTACTCTTTACTTTACACTAATCAAAATACAAAAATAAGGAAAAATTTATTCTACCTAATTACTTTTTTTTATCTATGTTCTCCAATGATACTTTTACTTTACTTATTTATCCATACAAATAATTTAAAGAGGCTGTTAAAATTTTTCAAAATATAGCTAGTTTGGAATTTTTTTTTGTTAAAATAACTAGTGTAGTAGTTTGTCTGTTAGACGAAGTAAAATAAAAAGATACTATTATAATAGCTAATGGGCCTATCTTAAAGAGTCCATTCGATGCCTTTACACTTCAAAGTATAAGATATCCACGTGGAAGTAAGTACTCTGTATATAACATTGGAAAATGTTAGAGGTACCAAATTTTCTATCAAATAAATGACCAAATGTCTCACATGGGTGTGGGCCTTACAAAATTGCGGACCCCACCCCCATGTGAGACATTTGATCATTTGTTTGGTAGAAAATTTGGTGTCCCTAGCATTATCCTATAACATTATATAAGAATTAAATCTATCTTTTTGAGATAAATACAATAAAATGAAAAAGTTACAATTATATAATCAATTTAATTTCATAGATAATATATATAAAAGATTTTACAAAATAAACGATTTAAATAATGAAAAAAAAAAATTTCTATAGTTGCCTCTACTTTTTCAAACAGAAGCCCAATCCAAAATAGGAAAACGTAGGAGAACTCAGTTCATATTGTTGTATTTTATGGATCTAAGGGGGTGCGGATGGGATGACCATACCCCAAAAAATTTTAAAAATATCATATAATCTATTACTATTATAAAAATGTCAAGAGTCTGTCATGTTTTCTACTTTTTTCAAATTTCAATTTTACCCTTTCAAATTTATTATATTTTTTAAAGTTATAAAGAGTCTTATATAAATTAACTATCTCTTTATTTTTTGAATTAAATACTCAAAAACGATATATTTGATTCCAAGAGTCCTATATCTACTATCTACTATCTATTCTCTACTACTATTATAAAAGTGTGAAGAGTCTACCATATTTTCTAATTTTTTTTTTAAAAAAAAAATTTCAATTTTACCCTTTCAAATCTACTATAATTTCTAAAAGTCATGAAAAGCCCTAAACCAACTCTCTCTTTATTTTTGGAGTTGAACACTCAAAAATGATATATCTGCTTCCAAGAGTCTCATATAATTTCTCTTCTTATGGGAAAATAAATAAATAAATAAATATCTCCACATTTTTTACGTTGATGACGATTGAAGAACAAAAAAATAATTACTCTTTCTTATTTCCTGTATCTGCTTCTATACTGATATACATAATATTTATAATTGTCCATTGTAGATCAAATCACTGTGAATAATTTTGGTTAAATCTTGAAGTTATATGTATTCGTTTAAATCTAGACAGAGGAAAGTGCATGCGTTTTTAAAACAGAGATTTGTGTTGCATCTCAAAATTTCGCAGGTTATCTTCAAAGACATTCTTTTTGTTTAAATTATATTTTATAAACTGTAATATTTTACATGATACTTTAACAACCAAGATATAATGTCAAAATTCTAAACAGGAACCACTTTTGTTGGTTTATTTTTTAAATCTATTTTGCAATTTTTGATTTTTTTTTATGTTTTCTCAGTTTTGGTGATTGAAGATACTGGAATTCTTCATATTTTATATTTAAATTATACTTTTTATATAAAAATTTAATATCTAATAATCTAAATAGAATTAAAAATTAAAATATTTGTAAAAAAATCTATAAATTTAAACATGTATTGATTTATTATTATTATTATTATTTAATTTTATACAAATTATTCACAAATTATTTTCAATTTTTATGTGAATTTAATTATCTAATTAAAAAAATGGTGCATACACATAAAATTTAATACTAAACATTTACATTATGACCAACTATTTAATTATAAATAATTAACTTCTCATTGTTACCTACATTATATTATTTCAAAAGATTTCAAATATTATTTTTGTAATATCTTATGTATGTCAATGTCTACATATATAAATATAAATTTATATATGTTATTGTATTCATGCATTGTCAATCTGTAATGTTATATTACCATTAGGTATTTTAATTTTCTAACATGTATCACTTTAATAGCATAGTTATATTTGTTAGGAAAAAATTATAAAATTGTGTATTGCTCTCCTATCAACTTATATTCAATACATATATACATATATGTTATACA